AAGAAGAAGAAGAAAGAAAGAAAAAAAATAGAAAGAAAAAGCACTGAGCCGCAACTTAAGTGCTTTTCAAATTAAAATACAGAGGAAAAAAAGGTTTAAGCTCCGATCTCGGACATGCTCAGACGTTTAAGGTGGGTTGTCAAAGCTCTGGGGAAGCACTCACATTGCAGGGGAATTACTGTGAACACCAGCAGGGTGCAGATGCTCGGCCCGCAGTCGGGAAATGAAGCGAGAAGAGAATGGTGGTCCCAATAAGGTGAACACAGCACACTGACCTGGACCTGAGTGAGCACTGCTGCCCTCTGCTGCCTCAAATATGAACGTTCCTATTTCTCAACCACACGCCTCAGCTGTGTCCCAATTCCATACTAACCACTTACAATATGAACAGTAAACCAACCAGTATAGTATATTGTTGTTGCAGGTAGTATAAAAGAAATCAACAGCAGCTTCTCAATTTCCTTTGTGCATTGCATTGTGGGACAATAGAATCAGCCAACAGCATACTCAAAAAATGAAGGGCTTTTCAGACTGTTCTTGAGCATACTTTACATGATCACTTTGCTAGTATGAACACACCTCATACTCAAAACCTGCTTAGTCTAAGAGCCGGGTTATGAAAAGAACTAATTTGTACGATGCGTCATCCGACCATGTCACGCGGCAAAAGTGTTTATAGCGGTTTCAAACGGTCGTATTTTAAATGGGCGAAGAGCTGACCGTCATAGAGAGTGGAGGATGGGGTTTACTTGCTGAGCTATGGCAAAAATCATTCAAATATGGGGATTACTGTGCACACTTTTCAGACAGTCACTGCTGGAAGATGTTCACACTCGTTTGCTCCAAATAATTAAAGTGGGTCGTTTTGTTTTTGAAAAGTGAGGTTTTTTTGCAACAGTTAACAGTTAATTTGGCCACCAGCACAAATTCTGAGAGAGTCATGTTTAAACATATTGTTTTCTGAGGGAACGCTTGTTTGATGTTGCTTACAGAGCTTTAGCAACTCACCCAGGACACATTCTTCATCAAAACAATGTGAAAATTAAAAAAGGGGGAAGCCTTTCCCCTAACAATCACACATAAGTTAAACAAGACAGGGAAAGACAGGTGCTTGATACAGTCTCAGTATATACTGAAGTGTGCTAACTTACAGAAATACAGTACATGTATGTCTTTTGCAACTGTCTGGTTCTGAAGATTAGATCCTGTTTGAGTTTGTCTTGTTCAGTTAAAGAGCGGACCAGTACGAGAAAGGGGCAGGAGCAGGGCGGGTGAGGAAAATACAAAAAGGTGCTTTAAGAAAAAAAATAAAGTTAAATTAAACAAGTGTTTTCTTCTCCCCGACCACATTCACTCGAGCACACACAGACACATTTTGAATTTCTAATTAGCCTGTCTTTAACTTCACGAAAACAACATGTCAAAATAAAGTCAATTTTTTTCAGAGCTTAAATTCTTGTCATTGAAAGACGAGTCATGGTCCATGCCATGTAGCGCGCGCGTAGCAGCAGCAGCAGCTAGGCCTATGAGACACAAATTAACCCCCCCCAAGATGGGTATTCTACCATTTGTACAAACTATAGGTTTTTAAATGTAATATAATCCCATTTATTCGGGACTGAGGTACACAGCTAAGGTAACGCGTCCAGTGGTTGGTTGTATGAAGGAAAGAAAACGGTGAAAAGTCGCATGGTTTATGTTTGAAGGGTTTAAATGCACCTGACAAGTGAAATGTCCCTTTAAAAACATCCCATTTAACATCAGCCGAAGATTTGATTTGGCTCCAAGTACATAAATGAATGCCATCACTGTCTAGTCAACATCTCCCATTTTGGAAAAAGGTGATGGAGCTATTGTAAGTTATGGGCAGAAGGAAAGGAGTTCGAGGGAACTGATAAGTTGTTAAAGCCTGTAAGAAACAATCGGAGGGACTAAGGAGGACATGAACAAAAAAACAGTAAAAACTGATCTGATTCAAAAAAAAAAATGTAAGAATTATAAACCTGTGAGAGGCAGATCCATGTAAGGGACACTGCTGTTAGCTTTTCATCCTCAGCTCTCACTCCAAATGGGAAAACATTTATCTTGGTTAAGCCTAACAACAGTGGCTTACACTAAAAAAAGCATCTATTTAAAGTCTAGAAGCCTGAACTGAGTCTATTACCACTAAATAATAAGAACATTTAACTCTCACTCTCAGCCATTCAGCAGTTTCGTTCTCTGCACATCCAAAAGTTTCAACTCTGTCCTCTCTGCTTGTCATCATCCCTGCAGTTACTCTTCTACATCAACACTCAGCAGACAGGCAGCCAGACTTACATCAATCTCCATTTACAGTTACAGTTTTACCTTTCTCCTTCTCGACACTTCACAACGCCCCCCCCGCCCCCCTCCGAACCTTCTTGTTGCGTCTGCACTAGTCTGACTTGTCCCCGTCGTCTCCTCGGGGCGCCCTCTCTGCGGCCTCCCGGGCCTTGTCCTCCTTCACTGCCTGGGCCTGGCCGTGGGAGTAGTTGGCCAGGATGGAGGACAGGGAGAGCAGGCCGGAGCTGGTGGAGACAGCGGGCAGGGTCGGAGGGGTGAGGCCCAGGGGCAGCGGGGTCACCGGCAGGGCCAGGCCCTGGAGCTGGGACAGGTGTTGCACCTGGAGCTGTTGCTGAAGACACATATGGTACGGACGCTGTGATTTTATTAGTTGGAAGTATCAAAAGCAGATGATCCATCAGTGCCTAATAATGCAGCAACATGTATTTACACTTGCACATTTCTCCATTTATTATTCTTAAAATAGCTGGTGCTAGAAGATGAAGTAGTAACTACTTTCATGGTTAGTTGTTGAGCTATAGTAGTATTGTCTAATTTAAATATTTATCATTTTTAAAAACAAGAAACTTTCATATGTTGTTAAAATGATAAAAAGATCTACTTAATACATGAAGAGTCATTGTAGCTTGATGGATAAAAAAATGACAATAAGTGTTTTTTATAAGGTTTGATTTTGTTTTATTTCATCCAACCCCACTTTCAGAGAGCAAAGCTTTTACTCATTTCCTAAGCTCACCCGTATGATGGAGTTCATCTCAGGGGGCGTGACTTGCTTGGCTCTCTCTATGGCGCCCATGACTTGCTGTTGATGCTGAAACAAAGACGACAAATGGTCAACTCGACAAGTGATCTAAGTGATGAAGTTAGACAACATATGTAGAAAAGTCAGTCAGATTTTAAACATATTCGTGAAAATGTGAGTGTCATTACCTCTTGTGACAGGTAAGGCAGCACCTGAGCACAGATCCCATTCAGTCTCTTCACTATTTCAGCCTGAAATGACAAAAAGAAAGGAGAGAAAAACAGTTCAGAATAGCAACTTAGCAGATCTGGTCAACTAAAAGAGGGATTCACTTTAAGAGACTGTAATTACCTGTTTGTGCATTTCAATGTTCAGCCCGTAGGACATTTCATAGTACTGTAGGAGAAGAGAGAGAGTGGACAAACATTATCAGAAACTAAAGCTACAGACTTTCTGTACATGTTCATACACAGACATACACAAACTGAGAATCCTTTTATATACAATATACAATGTCTGGCCTCTACAGTAAGAGGAAATCATACACATATAATTTTAGATCAGAATCAGAGTATACTTTGTTATACATACTTCTATATGGGAATTATGTATTGAGAAATGTAGATGTTTTTGTCTTGTGATCTGTAATTGATCACTGGCTATCAGAGCAGCTTTAAAGCATGAATCTATTGCTGGTCATGTGACAAGTGAACACGAGGAAACCACTAACACACAAAGCGTGTGTTCGCTCGCAAATTAGTGATTATGTACGAATTAATAATAGATGGAGATGATCTTGACATTCCTGGTGTGTGCTGGAATTTCTATGCGTATACTGCAACCCTAAGTGATTTTTTACAGATCAGTTACAGATCAGAGAGAGATAAACAGGCACATCTCACTGACACAAGTTAAAGCAACACTTACCATGATATAGTGACGCTGCATCTCTGACTTTTCAGAGGCCAGTTTATCACACTCCAGCTTCAAACTGTATAGAAAGAATAGAAATGTTAACAATAAAAGGTCAGCAGGTTTACTTACTCCACAACTTGTCATCTTTATACTAAGCTAAGATGATCACCTGCTGGCTCAAGCTTCATACTTAGTATAGACATGAGTGGTATTACTCTCATGTCTAGGATAAAGCAGCCATTATAGTGAATTTTTAAGCTGGAATGAAAACAGACCAGGCTGCTTTCTTAAATAAATACCTTTAAAGAACATTTAAGTTAAATAACATGTTAGATAATTGGACATATACATTGTCAACCAATGCTAGTTGACACTGCTAAGAGCTGCTGTTTGCCACAGTATTGTAAAGCGCAGTGCACTCTGCTGGATTTATTTTGCAGTGACACCAATATATTAGCACAAGCATTTAAATCTGCATTATTCACTGCAAAAAAAACTGTTTTCATATCAGCGCGTTTCGGATAACGTAACGAATATGATACCGATATTTCAGCCATAGGCCAATATCTCATCTACCTCTGATCAAAGAAGCAAATGACTTTATTTCCTATTATACCAAACTGTTTAAATATAATTCTGTGCTGTGCCTCCTGACTGTAACTAGGCTTGGTGCAGATTCAGGTGTTAAAAGTACTGCATTTTAAAACATATCTATGTTAAAGCAGTTGGCATGCTAACTAGGCAGCTGCATTAAGCATCACACTCCAGAAAAGTTACAGAAATTGAACTTAAAGCACTCAATATATGGATTTCAAAGTGTGTGTATGGTTGTGTTAGCCGCATACCTGTGGTACTGTGCTTGGAGGAACTGGAACTCATCCTTGATGCGGTCACAGGAGTCAGAAGTGGTGAACTTAAGAGCTTGACCGGACTGAGAGGACGCCTGGGAAACACAACAACACGATCAGTTTTTATAAGTTCACACAGAGGGCTAAATTACATTCACAAAGAGCCCGGCATCCAAACAAGAAAACGTATTATCTCTGTACATGTCTGTGTGCTGCTGCTGAAACGGCTTTCCTTGAATGCGCACTTGGGTTTGTTTAGAAACAGTAGTTTGACCTCTGAGATTAACCCTTTGACGGACAGCTAAAATGAAGGCCAGGCTACATTGGGCTGAGTGTGAGTGCACAGTATAAAATTATATATAAAAAAAAAAAAAAACAGTATGTTGTAGCACTGACAAACTCAACTCTTTCAGGACACAGAGTGTGTGTTGATTGAGGAAATGTGTTTACAGACGGCAAGATTAAAGCGTGCCCATGCTGACCATATGTGAGAGGCATTTAGAGGCTGCATTAGAAGTCTGAATATGTATAGACTACACTTAAACCATGAGTCCAAAGCTGTAATCCAGGGTTTAACTAATGCCCTAAACCTCATTACTCTCTAAATAAGTGGCACAAGGGCAAGCGGTTTCCAGTGGGATTATGAGACTGAACAGAGAGGATGGAGGCAGCCGGTTACACGCCGAGTTGACGCTCTCCATTCAAAATGCACGGCGCACTATATTCGAATATTAGTCGATGCATTGATTACTTGAATGACAGTAAATTTAGGGAATCTTAGAATTATTTCAGATATTTAGCAAGCAAAGAAATTCAAAACAACCGCCTTCACTTTGGGCTCTGGGAAATGTTTCATTACGAACATTTTAGATACTAAATGAAATGATAGTCGGTTTAAGTTGATGAAAAAAAAACAGCCACTAGTCACAGTTAGAACTGGTCAATCCACAACATTGACAATTTGGACAATCAATTAATCTTTCAATCTATTTATCAAGAACAAACTGCTAAATATTCACCTTTTCCTACTCATAATTTAATGTATTTCTCTGTTGTGCATCATTGTAAATCAATATCTTTGGGGTTTGAAGACGTCACTTTGGGATCCGGATATTTTGTGACAGGAGTTTTTAACCATTTTTTAAGAGATTACTCGATTAATCAAAGAAAAATGGACTAAAATAAATACCAAATTGATCAATAATTACATTAATTGTCAGTCACAGCTCTCCAGAAACACATAAAGTATGTAATCTATGTTTGAATAACTCCTATAAAATGCCTCCAACCGTTTAAAACTGGCCCAATATTGCTTGTGGCCTCAGTGTGTTTTCTTTAGGCAGATCTTTGATACAGTCTAAAAGAGGAACAGCAGTCACATGCTGAAACTGACCAACAGGAATATACATATATAGCAAGTGCTCTTTTCTTAATGTTCTGTGTGTTATTGTCTTCATGCCTGTGCTTCGCTTCCCTCACCTGTGGTCTTATAAAGGGTCATTTCCTGTTTTTTGTTGCTTAATACAGCATGTCTGCCATTAGTTGGTTTTACGTTGCGGGGGATGGGAATCAAGAACTGGTTCCAAATTATTCGATCTGAATGTTATGCCACCAAGCTTAAATATTCCTCTTATCAATGCCAGCACGTTTTGTGCATCGCAAAACAATTACGTCAAACTAATGCGTCTACGCTGCTGGAAACAAGAAGGAGGCACATTGGACAGGAAGAAAGAAACTCAAACTACTATAACTCTACTCTTTTCCTACACTGGGTCAGACTCAGATAATAAAACCATCGCGTTGACGACGAAAAACAGAAAATTGATCGTGAATCAATAAAGGGAATCGACAAAGACTCTGCCTGATAAGCAGAATCAATAATGCTACTGTATCAGTAAAATCTGATTAATTCCCATCCCTATATATTGTTATATTAAACATAATAAAATAAGAAGAGGGCTGCAACTAATGATTATTTTTATTATAGATTCATCCGCAGGTTATTTCCTCAATTAATAAAATATCATGAATAGTCAGAAAACTGAGATATTTAGTCTTTTGTCGCACCAACAGTCCAAAACCTAAAGCTATTATTTAATATCACAGAGGACTAAGACCAAGAATATATTAACATTGGAGAAGTGATTTCTTTTTAGCATTTTTTGCTTTCAAACTGACTTAATTGATGAATCCATTATCAGAATAGTTGCAGATTAATCTTTTGTCAACCACTAAATGACTGTTTCTAGAGCTGCAATGATTAGTTGATTAATTAATTAGTCCAGCAACAAAAAAATGTAGTCAGCAACTATTTTGAGAACAATAATTTGACACTATTTCTAGGTAAAAATGACTTTGGTTTCCAGCTTCTCCAATGTGCTTTTCTTTGTTTCAAGATTTAACATGTCTCCTTAGACTTTGTTTTATAAAAAAACACAATATAATCATTAGTTGCAGCCATAATTGTTTCACTTCTATACATTTTTATTAAGTATGAACACACTCGTTAGCATGCAAACTGTTGTTGAAGGCCCAGTTTGTGTCCAATTTTTGTGTGTACCTCTTTCCTCACTTAGCTACTGTTTGAAAGGCTCCCTTTCTTCACTTGCTGGCTGTGGACAAAGAATACTAAACCCACTTATTCTTCCACGAGTTGGTCGTTCATTTAGACTGCCATAATTAACATATCGCATGATTTACTTGCAGCTTTCTGCCACTGGCAAAGCCCTCATTTGAACTTGAATATTTGCTTTAAATCCACCTGTTCATAGTGCTGTGTCACGGTGCTAGTTTATGGCTGCTAACGTAAATATTTGCAGCAGTATTTCCAATTGTAATAAAAAAAAAAAATCATTGCAGAGATAAAAATCTTTTTTTTCCCACCATGTGCCCAGATGGCTTTGTCTAAGTCAACTGCTGGCACATGCATTTGCTGTAGCCTAACCCTTATATTTACGCGTTTTAGTGTGTTGACAGTAGAAACAGTGAATTAAGCCTAAACAACGCAGAATAACACACCAACTTCCCCCTCTCGGACTCAACCAACAACTTAAAAAACGAGCTGTTTTCACTAAACAGGCTAGCTAGCGACAGACTGTGTTAGCAGCCAAACACCGGCGAGCGAGTGATAATGGCTGCTATTTAAAAACACCCATCAGGTTTATTCCCAGCTTTAATCTGCTCGCTTCTGCCCAGACGTAACGGTGTAAAGCGTCGTGGGGAGGCGAAGAGAGCCGAGGTCTGGCATTGTGAGACGAGCTGACAGCCAAAACCTGCAGCGAAAAAAAAGCAGCGCTAGTAGTATCAGCTGTCGGCAGGCTAGCTCCGCGTTAGCTCCGCTCAGCTTCGGTTGCTTCGTTTCCTACCGGGACAAGTTCAACTAGTCAACTCACCGAGTGCCTTGATTGAGGAAACATCATGTCAGCAGTGTGTTGTCGCCGTGTTTCCTTGTTCTTAATCGAATCACCAGGCTAGCCGGCTAAGCTAACAGGTCCCCAGATATTATTAAATGATCGGAGACGCTGTTCGCACTTTGTACTCTGTCATCGTTTAAAATAACGTTAGCTAGCGTCAAAGCAGCAGGAGCCGAAGATCGTGTTGTGGTGTTTGCAGCGAGAGAAATCCTCTTCCTCCGCGGATCGAAGAGGCGAGTCGAGGAAATACGAAAAACGCTCTTCAAAGGAACATCAGGGTTTTTTTTTTTTCTTTTTTTTTTTTTTGGAATAACGTTAACGTTACACCTCCCCGGGGAAACCCTGGATGTTGACACATGAGCCCCCGACTTTCCTCTGCTTTGAAGAGAAGAGCAGCATCACCCGGAAAACAAACCGAGCAGCGGAGGAGCGGGCGCCCCGTGTGACACAGAGCTGAACTGAAGCGCTCACCGGCGGCCAGGGCCGGAGCTACTGGGGCCCGCAGCACAGCACGTAGTTATTATAATATAATATAATATA